TTTTTTTTTTGTTTTTTTTTTTTTTTTTTTTTTTTTTTTTTTTTTTTTTTTTTTTTTTTTTTTTTTTTTTTTTGGTATTTAATCAAATATGTGGATCATTTGCATTTGTCTGTTTCTAGAATGGCTTATTTCGTATATGCAAATAAAGACTGATAGAACGAAACAAATTATAAATTTAAATAACAATAGAGATCTTATATATTTTTAACATACGAATGTTGAATCCTGGAATTCACAGAACAGAGGGATATAAATTGTTAGTTTACATCAATTTAATTCATTGCACCTTAATTCAAACTATAGTTTCTTGCTACATTATTGTTTATTTATATTAAAAGTTGACAGTTTGATTGTTCGTCCCACAATTGTTGAACTATAATATTTAAATTAAAATGGTTGCAAATTCTAAACAAAATGAGATAAATTCAATTTCAAACGGATTTTTTGTCGTTGTAGCTATGAGATTGAATGAAGGTGTTTCGGATTGTGTGCAGACAGTTCCAGGATATGATGTAGCAGGTGTGGTGGTGAAGGTGGGAAGTCAGGTAAAGGAGCTAAAAGAAGGGGACGAAGTATATGGCAACATCAACGAGAAAGCCCTCGATGGCCCCAAACAGTTCGGTTCTCTTGCAGAGTACACTGCTGTAGAGGAAAAATTATTAGCCTTAAAACCCAAGAATATTGATTTTGTTCAGGCCGCTGGGTTGCCTCTGGCTATTGAAACAGCCTACGAAGGTCTGGTAAGAACCAACTTTTCTGCTGGCAAATCAATTCTCGTTCTCAACGGTACTGGTGGAGTTGGAAGCCTAGTCATTCAGGTTATATTTCTCTCACTTTCGCATGAATAATTAACTATCTCCGCAAGTTATCTCTGCTGTTTTGCTTAATGAAACGGAAATCTGGGACTTGTTTCTGATACAGATAGCAAAACATGTGTTTGGAGCTTCAATAGTTGCAGCCACTTCGAGCACTGGAAAGTTAGAGTTCTTGAAAAGTTTGGGTGTGGATTTAGCCATTGATTATACCAAGGAGAACATCGAAGATTTGGCCGAAAAATTTGATGTAGTCTACGATGCAATTGGTGAGGATTTGTAGGATTTGAGTCATTTGACCATTGATGTTAGCTTGTTCATAGACTGTTTCTCAAATGACAGGGCAGTGTGATAAGGCGGTGAAAGTAGTGAAAGAAGGTGGCAGAGTCGTGGTGCTGACAGGCGCAGTGACAGAGCCTGGTTTCAGATTTGTGGTCACTTCAGATGGAGCTGTTCTGAAGAAACTGAACCCATTCCTGGAAAGCGGGAAGGTGAAGCCGATCGTGGACCCAAAAGGACCTTTTCCATTCTCTAAGGTCGCAGAGGCCTTCTCATATGTTGAAAGCAGCCGAGCCACTGGAAAAGTAGTCATACATCCAATCCCATGAGGGTACTAATCTGTGAGATCTTCGAGAAACCTTTCCCTTCTTTACTCTGAAATGGCTCTGTAACTATTGGAAGTATCCCAGCATGGATTGACATTAAAAGGATCTTATTGCACTGTTAAAAGAGAATGAAGCAAGCCATTTCATTATAGTTATTGTTTGTAATAGTACAAAAGTGATGGGGATATCCCCATTACAGGAAACACTTCCAAGACAAAGGGAAACAAAAGGAAAATGAAGAAAAAACTCTTATTTTGGAGGGGAAGATAGTTGCGCAGATCATCCTTGCAAGTATAAATAAGTGCTTCCTTAGCCTCATATACTATGACAGCAGCAGAATACAGACACATTGCTGAAAGGGAAGAAACTAAAAAATAATTGGTCGACCGTGTTTGATTAACGTCGTCGTCCAGGAGGGTATTGTATGGTATTTTCAGACAACTAGAGAAGGAGAAATATTAAAGTCAAGATTCCACAGCTCAAAATCTCCAGAGACAAAGTTGTAATGTGCACCCCTTATGAACAGTTGCTTGTTGATGACAGCTTCTCTTACAAAAGGGTATGTCAGCAAGTTTCCAAGGGAAACATTCACAGCTTCCTGCAAGGTATCAATGATTGTTATTACAACGAATGGTTTGTGTTTGTTTCTTGAATTGACTTGTTATTTTACCTTCTCGCAGTTTGTGCATTTGTCTTCAAAGCTCAAGTCGGTGAAACCTAATTGGACCTTAGCTTTGGCAGGAGTGCATATTTTCACCCAGTTTTCAATGAACTCACTGTAAGTTAAAAAAGGAACTGTGTTACTTCTTTGCTTAAAACAAACAACCACCAAGCCACATCTTCCTCTTGGAATCAATCAATTAACCTTAAATTCTTTGTTCTTTCAAGGTAAACTTTAGAAAGAGGCAAGTTTTGCAGAAACAGAGAGCAGAGAGAGGTAAAAACAAAATGGGTTTTAGAATATAGGATTTTGGAAAAGAGCTGTAACTTCACTTCTCTTATCAAGGCAGAGAGAGATAAGGAAAAGTGGGATCCAAATGGAGGGATTCCCACAAAGTTGAAAGGGAAAAGGGTGATCTGTAAAGTAAGGACAAAAGGATGTACTTATCATAAAGCACTGAACAGTAAACTGCAGAATTTTGAGTAGCAATTTGTAAACACTGTCCCTTCCATCACAACTTTTCTGACAACTTTAGAGATATAAATAAAGACAGAGCTTCCTCCAAGAATATGGTACCACCAGAGTGGAAAGCTTAAAGGGCTTTTATTGGTAAAGAGAGTTCCTCTGTGATTCACCCACCACTCCCATTAAATGCCATCCCTAAACTACCCCCCCTTACTTTACCCACCATCACATGGGAAGAACTCACTCACCTTAATCCTAATCCCATCTACCCTTTTTATATTTATGTTCTTTTACAAGTGGGTCCAAAATAACTTTTTATATTTATTTACGGTTAGTACTATTGTTGAAATTTTATGGGTATTTCAAAAAAAAAAAATACTAATAATAAAATATTTTTCAATTTTTTTAAATGGAAGGGTATTATGACACTTTTTAAATTTCATTTTTTTAAAAATTATTAAAGTATTTTTTAAAAAACTGTCATCTAAAATTAGTAGGAAATTTAAAATTATTATTGAAACTTTTAAAATACTACTAAATACAAAGTTTACGGGTACTTTCAAATTTTTATACCAAACTTTTTAAAACTATGACAGATCTAAATCAATAAATATAAAAAAAATTATTGAATAGAACTTGAGAGAAAGAAAGGAAAAAAAATAAATAAATAAAGGGAAAGAGAAATTGCCTGGAAAGAGTTCCATCGGTTGGGATGGACATCAGGCCCTTAATGCCACCGCAGCAGCTATGTCCAATCACAACTATATTCTCCACCTAAAATTAATTAAATTCGTAACTTTTAATGAAAAATCATGATGAGAATACAAGAAAATGGGGGATCATTAAAATATTTATTAACATATATTATATAATAAGTATATATTACCCACCTTAAGATGCAATATAGCATATTCAATTGCAGCTCCCGTCCCAGAATATTTAGTCTACAACCAAATTTAAAAAAAAAAAATGATAAGTTGTAAGTTAATTATATATAATAATAATTGGATAAGAACGAGGGCGAAAAAAAAAAATATATATATATATATATATATATATATATATATATTTAAAATGTTTAAAGGATATAAATGGATGGAAATAAATGGAGAGTGAGAGGGCAAACCGTGTCAAATGGTGGGACCATGCTGGCGATGTTTCGGACCACAAAGGCCTCCCCAGGTTGGAAATTGAGTATGTGTGAAGGGCAAACTCGGGAATCCGAACACGCAAATACCAAAAACTGCAATTTACACGTGGACCTCTCTTAGTGGCTGCTTTTCTTTTTTGGCTTTTCATTCAACACCTTATCTAACCCCGCCCAATATTTGCGGCGGTGCCCTTATCATAGCCCCTCAAGAAATTATTATTTACATTTATCCCCCACATTCTTTCTGAAATTACAAATCCTTACCTTCGGGCTCTGCCCTTTCGCTAGTTGACCAAACAGATCAGGATTCGTCCTGGGCAACCAAAACAATAACAACCCCCGTTATTATCAATAATTAATATTATTATTTAATACGGAATCAACCAAACAGCATATTCGAAAGAAAAAAAAAATGTAAAATTCCATTTTAAAAAAAAACGTACTCGAATTTGGATTTCTTGAAATGTGTGAACCCGGTTTTGATCCTATCCACAGCGTCGAACCCATCAGACTCGGCGGTGGACCCGGCCAACTCGGCAGTTATTTGCCGGATCCTTACGGCGGCGGCCTCCTGAAGATTCGCTTTCTCACTACACGACGACATATAAAACGGAAATGAATTCTGATCGGTCCTGAATTAGCGGCGGCGGAAAAACAAAAACCAGAAAACAAACGGAATTGGAGGAGATGGATCCGTTACCTGAGAAGCTTTGTCAGTCCGGCAATCGCTTCCTCGTACGACTCTTCCGCCATGTCTTCCTGTTCAATTTCAAACACCCATCAAAATTAATCAAAACGACGTCGGTGGATCCAGATGATCATTTCATAAAATTAAAAAAAAAAAAAAAAATCCAAAAATTTAGAAGAACCTTTAAAATTGTGTGGGAAAATCTGGGGATCGTTAATGTTGTTGGGAAGGAAGATTAAAGAAGAAGCAAAAGCTATACGAAGCTGTTGAAGACGGGTCAATATATATAATGGAAATGGCCATGAATAAAAAGAAATTAATTACCCAATTGCTTTTTTTTTTTTTTTTTTTTCTTTTTTAGATAATGGGAAAATGACGTTGAAAAAGTCTCCTACTTTTTTAATTTTCAAGTCACCTTTTTTTGGCTTCTTCCAAACTATAATAATTATAAATTTTAAAATAAACAGAAATTATAATTTCTAGAATTATCATGATTTTAACGCCTGTGATTGCGATATAGAATGAATCAACGGCTGTGATTTCCGATTGGAATTTGAGGATTCAAGGGAAGAAAAAAAAAGTGGTGGTGGAGAGTCAAACTTCGATGGCGTCAATACGCGTGCCCTTCATTGACGAGTCAACTAATATACCCGTTGGATGACTGCCACGTGGCCACATTGTAAAACGTGATCATTAATAAAATATAATATAATATAATATACGATAATACCTTACCAATTATACATTTAAGCATTTTTTTTTTAATTAAAAAATTTTGTTTTTATTATATAAATTCATAAAATTGTCAAAGATTGGGGGCCATTTTGGAATTTCTCAAACATAGCCCTAGTTTTCTTCAAAGGTCACGGTATTGGAAGGGAGAGAAGACCATTAATAAAGAGAATAAAAGAATTGGACCATATAAATTTATTATAATACAAACAATTTTAATAATTATTCTTATTTTATTCGAATTAAAGAAATACCAAATTACCATTTTAGTCTAATTGGTTATGACTTTTTTTTTTTAGTTTTAATTTAAATTTTTGACTTTTTTTTTTTAGTTTTAATTTAAATATTTAACTTTTAGAATAATAATTAAACCTAATTTAAAAGTAGTGTAGAAAAATATTAAAATATGATAAGAAATTGAGAATAAATTAGAAATAAAGTTATATTATATGGAGCACATGATGATATTTTTAATTTTTTATTTTAAATATAGATGGTTCCTTTCCACTATTAGAATCAAACTAAAAATAGAAAATACTAATAATAATAATTTTAGTTCCATTCATAGATTTATTATTTTATTCGGGTGGTTTAATGTTTTGAACTTTTCAGTTACAAGATATTTAAATGCTCAATTTTCCGTTTTTTTTTTCTATTTGGACAAAAACAATCCTTCAATTCTAATTAATTAATTTATTTTAAATATATTTTTAATTTATTATTAATTTATACAACAAATCGATTACCATGGAATGAAAAAATTTTCAATTTCATAAATAGCATAATACTCTCATAAATATAGTACTAAAAATAAAATTAAAAAGGAATAATTTGAAAAATGTAAAAACATAAAATAATTATATTAATTTCTTTAGAATATAGAATAGAACTTTAGCAGGTAACAATATAGTTTATTTACTCTAAAATGTATAATAACTTTGTTAGACGAACACGACTCTCCACAATGGTATGATATTGTCCACTTTGAGCATAAGCTCTCATGGCTTTGCTTTGGGCTTCCCAAAAGGCCTCATTCCAATAGAGTATGATATAGTTTATTTACTCTATAATGTATAATAACTTAACCCCTATTAATTTTATTCTAATAGAGTATGGAGAGTGATGCGTACCGTAACCTTGGACGAGCAGCAAAGCATGCAATTCTTAAAGCTGGAGGCCATTGTTGCAGTGAGGTTGTGGCTGCCTGCTTGGTTGAAGAAAGCTGGTGGAAATGGCGGACAAGGAAAGAGGAAGAGGAAGATGAAGATGGGGAGATAGGGAAAGGAAAGCGATGGATGAGGTCTGAATTACAATTTGGATTACCCATCCTTCCCTTCCTAACTCTTATCCTCCACCAAACATTCTTTTTTTTTTCTCTTTTTTTTTTTTAATTTTTAATATTTGTTCGCACGTAAACATGTTCTTTCGTTATTGTGTATGATACGTATAACTGCGAGTTTCCATGTCAATTTTTTTTTTTTAATTTGATATAAAATTTTAAAAAAATGGTTGTTTTTTAATTTTTAATATTGTCTTGTATAATAGAAAGTAATATTATGTTAAAGTTAATTAATTTTTGTAATATAATGAGGAATAAATAAACAAATAAATATGATTTAATAGAGGGCTAAAAATTTCTGCTCAAACCATTAGGAGCCGTGAAAAGGCCCATTATACTCTCCACTATGTTTCTCGCGTAATGCCGTTCGTGATAATACGACGCCGTTTCCTCTTTCCTCCTCTTCTCTCCCTTCTCCACCGACGAGCCACTTCTCAGAAACAGACACGTCTCCTTCCTGTCGCTGCTGCTCCGGGGAATCTTGTCCCCGAACCGCCACAGTTTCGAGACCGCCGTCGTCGAAGCTTTAGTCCGATCCTCTGTCGAACTGATGTAGTTCTCTTCCATCAATTGCTTCTTTAACTTTAACTGGGATCGAACCGACGTCGTTTCCTCTTTTACCTGGAAACCGCCGTCGGCTAACATCCGTTGATCAAAGATGGGAAATACGGGGCGGATCTGGCCGTTATCGAAGGCATCTGGATTTAGACAGACGAAAGAAAAATCGTCAACAATATCTTCTTGTAATCGCGGTTTTGGGCTAAATTCCTCGGCTTCTGCCATCGATCTTTTCCGATTAATTAATGGGGGATTTGAACGGGGGATTGCGATTAAATAGTGGATAATGGCAGGAGGAATGGACGGGAAGACGAGGAAAGGTGGCGAAGCCGCGTAATTGTAAGGTATTAAAGTAATACCCACATCACTATTTGTATTAAAAGAATTACCATATTTTTCCATTATTTATAATCATTTACCGAATACAAAAATAAGGTAAATTACAAATAATAAGGAAATAGCGATAAAAGCAAAGAATAATAAATGAATACAATATATTTGCATTTAATAGAAGGGCAAATATGGTAACCCGTAATGATTTGCCTTATAATGAACGGTCAACTATCCTTAACACCCTCCACAAGCTGAGCGTCGGATTTGAACGAACATAATGTTTGGATCTGAAAAATTCAAAGAGAGGTCGAGAAATACTTTTTGTGAAGATGTCAGCAACTTGGAGATGAGAGGGTACATATTGTGTGCGAAGTTTGCCAGCGATAACAAGTTCTCGAAGGAAATGATAATCTAGTTCAACATGTTTGGCCCGCTTGTGAGAAACAGGATTAGAGCTCAAAAAAATAGCACTTTTGTTGTCACATAAGAGTAAGGGCTGTTGTGAAATAGGGACCTTGAGGTCATGCAAAAGATGCGTAACCCAAAGAAGTTCAGCAGCAGTTGTGGCAAGAGCACGATACTCAGATTCATAGTTGGAGCGTGATACAGTAGGTTGCTTTTTGGCACTCCAAGAAATGAGATAGTTACCAAGATAAATAGAATAGCCGGATGTAGAACGACGAGTATCGGGACAACCAGCCCAGTCAGCATCCGAATAAGCGACTAGCGTACTAGGAACAATGGATGGACAAAAGGTAAGACCAAAGTGGAGTGTTCCTTTGACATAGCGAAGAATACGTTTGACAACAAGAAAGTAATCTGCAGTAGGGGCATGCAAGAATTGACTGACATAATTGACAGCATAGGCAATATCTGGACGCGTAATAGTCAAGTACTGAAGGGCTCCAACAAGAGATCTGTAGAGAGTAGGATCAAAGAAAGGAGAACCATCAGCAGTCAGGTGTTGAGAAACAACCATGGGAGTGTGAACTAGTTTGCTATCGAGCAACTGAGCACGAGTAAGAATATCTCGAGCATATTTTAACTGACTAATAAAGAGACCATCAGGAGTGGGTGAAGCTTCAAGACCAAGAAAGTAACTGAGAGAACTCAAATCTTTGGTAGCAAACTCAGAATGAAGCTTGCAAGTAAAGCTGTTAATAAGAGATGAGTTGTTGTCGGTAACAATAATGTCATCAACATAAAGAAGCAAATAGATAAGGTTAGATTGCTGATGAAAGACAAAAAGGGACGTGTCAGTGCGACCAGGAGGTTGTTCCATATGAACACGTTCAATAAGCGTTCCATTGAGAAAAGCATTCTTGACATCAAGTTGTCGAAGAGGCCATTTATTTGTGACTCCAATAGAAAGCACAACACGGACAGTGGTAGCTTTGACAACCGGACTAAAAGTGTCAGTGTAGCCAAGACCAGGAACCTGAGTATAACCTTTGGCAACGAGACGAGCCTTGAAACGCTCGATGGATTCATCGGACAAATATTTAATACGAAACACCCATTTAGAGCCCACGATGTTGGTGTTGGCAGGGCGAGGAACCAAAGTCCAAGTATCATTTTGTTGTAACGCTCGAATTTCTTCATCCATGGCAGCCACCCAAGCAGGATTCTTAGCCGCAGATTTGAATCCTTTTGGCTCAGTGGATGCAAGAAGAGCAGAGAGAAGTCCAGATGAACCCAACATACCAAGATTTGCTGGATGACGAGTCTTGAATATACCAGCTTTGGCGCGTGTGATCATAGGATGAGTGCCCAAAGAAGAGAAATCAACAGGAGGTTCAATAGAGGTCGAATTAGAAGTCGAGGGTGGCAAAGTGGAACCTGTAAGAGAAGTATCAACCTGCACAGACTCATCTACAAGGTCAGAACAAATATCACACGGGGATGAACTAGATTGAGGAATGTGCGGTGATGAAGTGGTAGGGAGGGATGAATCAATATGATGAAGATGTGGTTCCAAGAAATTTGAAATAAGAATAGTGGAAAGAGGTTGGGCTTGGGAGCTCGGGATAGCAGGAAAGTGAGTTTCATCAAATTGAGCATGGCAGGTGATATATAGCTTAGTGGTGGCGGGATCAAGACAGCGGAACCCTTTATGAACAGGACTATAACCCAAAAAAATATAAGGAATGCTGCGGGAAGAAAGCTTGTTAGGCATATAATCACGCAAATAAGGATAAACACGACAACCAAAGGGATGAAAATTGTCATAATGTGGAGTGTAGCCATAAAGAAGTTCAAAGGGTGACTTACCTCCAAGAAGTGGAGTAGGCAACCGGTTGATAATATAAGCTGCAGTGCTGAAGGCGTCAACCCAAAAACGAGGAGAAAGATGAGAGTGAACGAGAAAGGCCAAGCCAGTCTCAGTCACATGACGATGTTTTCTCTCAACACGACCATTTTGAGCAGGTGTATATGGACAAGAGAGTTGATGGTGGATGCCAGAATTACGTAAATGAGTTTTGAAACAAGTACTAGTAAATTTGGTACCACCATCGCTTTGAAATACCTTGATACGAGAAGAATATTGATTTTCCACAAATTTTTGAAATTGAAGAAAAATATCAAAAAAATCAGATTTAAATTTTAAAGGGTAAAACCAAGTGAATCGAGAATAATCATCAATAAAAATAGAATAATTGAAATTGAAGAAAAATATCAAAAAAATCAGATTTAAATTTTAAAGGGTAAAACCAAGTGAATCGAGAATAATCATCAATAAAAATAGAATAATAAAGAAAACCCGAATTTGATTTGACGGGAGAAGGACCCCAAAGATCACAATGAATAAGATCTAACACATGAGACGACCTACGTTCATTGCGGGAATAAGGCAATCGATGACTTTTCGCAAGCTGACAAGTATTACATAATGATGAAGAAGGCAATAAAGACGTAAGAGAAAGATGACCTTTTTTATTTAAAAAAGAAATAACAGAATGATTCACATGACCCAGACGAGCATGCCATAAATCATATGAAGCACGTAAAGATTTGTTTTTAAGGGCTGAAATAAAAGCAGAGTTGCCGCGCTCCAGCACATATAGCCCTCCATCTCTTTTATCGGTTGCCACCACCCTTCCTGTTTGATGATTTTGGATAGTAATAAGGTTATTAGTAAATGTAACGGAGAGAGGAAAATCAGACGTTAATTTACTTATGGAAAGAAGATTTTTAGTGAGGTGAGGGACAACCAAGACATCTAATAAGTGAATATTTGGAACAGGAGAAAGAATACCGGTGTGGGTAATGGGTAGGAATGCACCGTTTCCTACGATCACAGAGTCCTTACCCGTGTAATTTTTAGACTGATCCAGAATTGATGGGTCGGCAGTCATATGGGCCGAAGCTCCAGTGTCCAGAAACCAATCAGCAGCATCGGGTCCAGCAATAGAACATGACGTGTTAAAGGCTTCAGCAAGGTGAGCATGAGAAGAATCAGGTCGAACATACCGTTGGTTGCAGCGGTCAGCATAATGGCCCTCTTTGCGGCATATTTGGCAATGAGGTGGTCGACGACCCTGACTTGAGTGGGTTCGTCCTCGATTAGAAGAGTTGTTTTTGTGAGAATAAGAACGACCTCGCTGGTTGGTAAAAGAAGCAGGGTGACTTCCATGGGTGCGACCATGATTAGTGGCTGTGAATGCTGTAGGAGTGGAGTCAGAAGACTCAAGGGAGCGCTGGAACAACTCAAAACTTTCAGTTTCAGAGACTAGATCTGCAAAACAGGGGATAGGGGTGAGAGCCATCTGAGCAGTAGAAAAAGCTGAAAATTCGGTGCCGAGTCCACGAAGGAACCAGTGCACTTTATCAATGTCCTCGACGGGTCTGCCAATGGCATGAAGTTGGTCACAAATTTTTTTGAAGGCACGGGCATACTCAGCAACAGGTTTTGTGCCACGTTTCATCAACTGCAAGTCATCCTTGAGTCTCAGTTCACGAGCTTTTGACTGATGGCTGAACGTAGTTTCCAACGCAAGCCAAACATCACGTGCAGTAGAGAGACCAACGACAACAGTCATGGC